AGGTTTGCCCGATGACATATGATGTTATCTGAATTTTGACATCGAGTATGTGAGCCAGAAATCCATAAAATGGAGTGTCATGTCAGATTTCTTGGCAAACAGAACTAATGAAAAATATAAGCCGCTAGACTTCGACTTCCCAGACGAAGACTTGATGACCATATCCTTAGAAGAAACAAGTACTTTAACAGATAGTTCTTGGAGAATGCATTTTGATTGTGCATCAAATGCATTAGGACATGTCATCGGGGCCATACTGGTCTCCCCAGAAGGGAATCATTACCCATTCACTAGCAGACTGAATTTCGATTGTACCAACAACATGGCAGAATATGAGGATTGTGTTTAACTTCACGACGAATGAGTAATCTGTAACACAACAAGAAAAAACCAGTTTCATGTAAAAGTTTTCAGGCCAAGTTTCACGACAAAATGTATTGGGCTAGAAGACGATCCAGGAGCCACTTTCCAATACTTTAAGCTCCGTTTCAACTTCACGTTGAAGGATATCATGCTCAATTCGACTCAACCCCACGGCAGGGGAGTCATTTGTAATTCATACCAAATCAGCTATAACAAATCAATCATCGGATTCCAACTCTATAATAGATGATATTTGATAAGACGAGAATTGACTCCCGTAACAGAGGACGTTAAATGTTACATTCATGATGGGCGAAATTGATGTCTTTAAATCTTTGCTCTATTTCGTTACACGATAATGGGCAAAGAGGGGCAGTTGTACACACACTATTTCGTCCCATTTTTATTGTATATCATATGGTATACACGTTATATATCACATATTTATAATATATATATATATATATATATATATATATTACATTTATGTTTATAATATATATATATATATTACACTTTTTATTACATTTTCAGGCCCAAACACAAGTACAAATTACGGCCCAGCATTACACCGCAACCCGGATCCACTGGAGCAACCCGAATCGGTCCAGACCCGAGTCAGCTAGGCTTTGAAACCCTAGCTTCCCACCATTTCCTCAGTGTCGTATCCACCTTTCGAAGGTTCCTCACGCCTCACGCCTCACGCACCAACCTGTCGTTTTCTTCAATCAACCAACCGTTCTTCTCGGCCATCAACGTCGTGGACTCGTGGGACTCACCAACAACCAACAAATGAAATGTTTTAGTCCAAAAGAAATTCTAAAACAAACTAAAAATATGATTTTTCTTAGACTATATATATATCTATGCACATGTAACACGAAAATACAAGAAAAAATACAAAAGAAATACAAGGCAATCGGAGCAAGAAATTTTTGTAAACTTTCGAAAGTGAAATCGAAATAAAGAATGTATTTTTTTTACCTCGTTCGTTTTGTGCCTTTGCATGTAGTTTTTTCCTTCCCTATTTTTTGGGTTCGAAAACGGCGATGAACATAGGGGAGAGCCGATATTTTCAATCTCAGATCTAGCCTTCCCCGATGCTAGTTTTAAAAATAATTTTTTTTATTGTTCGCCGCCGATGAACGGAAGTCGACGAGGCGGCGACCGACCAATTTTTGGGTTTCACGGCCGTGTTCTTCATTTCCATGAAGAACATTTCAAAGGTTTTTCGGGCTCTTCGATTTGATCTATTGAGAGGGGAAATTATGAAAATTTGATTAAGATTTTAGGTTTTATAGTGACCCATCAACCCGTATTTTGGACCCGCTGACTCGATCCAGGGATTCAAGATCACCATGTTTTTGTATAAAAAGGAGAATTACTGTTTCAGTCCCCCGTTTTTAAAACCCTAATTTTCCCCTAAATTCTCATTTTAACTTCGGTTTGCTTTGAAATTTACCCCCCCCCCCAATTTATTTTTATTTCGAATCAGTCCTTTATTACTAATATATATATATATTATTTTTGTTATTTAATTTAGCATTAATATTTATATAATTTTTATCTACTTTTTTCTTTTCTTTTTTTATTTTTCTTTTTATTTATTTAATAATACATTTTATTAGATATAAATTTATTTATTTATTTTTGTGTTTTTCTTATTTTTGTTTTCATTTTTTTAATTCCATTATTTTTTCTCCTTTTATTTTTTATTTAATTTTATTAATTTTTTATTTCATCTTTATTTATTTTATCATTTTATTTTATTTTATTTTTTATCTTTCTTTTATTTATTTTAATATTTTTCCTTTTTACCTTTTATTATTTATTTTTATTATTTTATTTATTTAGCTATTTTTTAGTATTTTTATTTTTTTCTATTTTGTTTCTTTTCTTTATTATAGTATTTGTTTATATTTAATTTTTCAATTAGTATTCCTATATTTATGCATTTTTCTTTCTTTTTATTTCAATTCGACTGTCCTTTATTTGCTTTGTTTTTATTTTATTCCTTTTAATTCATCGGTATGTATTTTTTAATTCGATTATGCATTTTATTACATCTAACACTTTTCTTGATTTTCTTAAGGGTATATGTTAAAATCTATTAAAGGTAAGTATTTTGGATCAAATTTTACCTTTTACTTTAACTTATCATTTTCATAATTAAGACAACTGGAAATTAATTAATACTAAAAGGGCAGTTCAAGGGTGTTAACCCTTCCTTGACTGTAATTATCTCTAGAATCTGACATATCTTTGGTAAGATGCAGGTTAGGTGAGAAATCGAGGTATCCGATCAACCTATTTGTTTTTAAAATAAATAATCAGTGGCTACTCTAACGTTTTATTCAAGTCGAAACCCAATTTCGAGCCCACCCAAAAGACGGTCGTGACACCATGGAGTCTACTGCAACTGCGTATAATCTGGATGTACTATCTTGCAGGCAACGTAGAGCTTAAATTAAGCTAGTTGATTGCTTTTCTTTTCATTAAAAAATATTTAATGGAAAAACTACCACGGTGATTAAAAATTAATATAATTACACATTTAATCTCGTTATATTCTATCAATTTGGTAATAAATTTAATTTAATTCAATAAATTTTATTCTCTAACATGTCATTATCTTTTTTTAATTTAAATTTAATTTATTAATAATTTTTCACTTTTCACACATTAGATAAATTTTAATAAAAAAATATTGTAAACTTTTAACAAAACAAAATGACTTGTTTTAATGGTTATAGTTGCTCCACCTCTCCAACGTAGCTTGAAGTTCAACTCTCGTTTTCCCCAATTTTGGATTCAAAACTTTTCATCCAATTAAACACTGACATATATTACTAGTGATATTGTAATTAGTAAAAAATTAATAGAATACGTAAATAATAACAAATTAGATATGTAATTATGTCAAATTTTTAACTATCAAATCAGTTTCTTCGTTAGATGTTAACTACATATGATTTAATTAATATCATTTACATAGTTAAGTGCCTAATTAAATATGATAATGATTAATGATCAATGATCAAATTGGAACTAGGGCTATAAACGAGATAAGATAGATCGCGAGCTGCTCGATATCGACTCAATCAAAGCTTGATCAACTCTCGAAGTGAATGGACTCGACTCGAACTCTTAACAAGCCGAAGGGAGCTACTTGATATCTGACTCCAAAAGCTCGCGAGCAACTCAAAAAATAAATTTTTAGATTTTTAAATTAAATTATTCATAATATTAACATTTATATGTTATTTTTTCAATATAATATAAGACTTTCATATACTTAAGGGTAGGCGTGAGGAAAACTCGACTCGACTCGAAAAATTAATATTTTTTAATTTCAAGTTATTCGATTCAACTCGAATTATAAATTCTTTGAGTTCGAGTTGATTTGAAATTTGAAATTTTGAGTTACTCGAAAAATCAATAATTTGACTAAGTATTTTAACAATTTTATGATTTAGTCCAGGGTTTCATTATTCCTTCAATCCCTTATTCATTTTAAGTCTATTTTTTTTACCAAATTGGAATCATATGCTCCTAAATCATTGTAGAATATCTATGTACTTTCTACTCCTATTTTTTATAACAAGTTTTCTATTTTTCAATTTAATCCCTCATTTTTTCATAATTTTCTTATTCTTCAATTCGTTCTTTATTTTAAGTCTGTTTTCACCAAATTTGAACTACATGCTCATATACCACTATAAAATACCTATGTAACTTTAATTATTATTATTTTACTAAAAATGTATTGTCCTTTTATTTAGTCTCTTAACTTTACATTTTACTCAATTTGGTCCTTTAACTATAATTGTTTATAAATTCTTTATTCCCATCTTCCTTGACTACTTTATACTCTCATCAATATTTTACCCTCAAAATAATTTATTTAAAATATAATATTGTGAATATATTTTATAATTTTAGATTGTATTTGATATATTATATAGCATTATAATGTGAAAAAATATGATATATATATATATATATATATATATCTTATATGGTTAGAGAAAGTCAAAAAAATTAGAATTACTTCTTACCATAATACTATAAATAATTATAATAAAATTAACATAGAAACTCAACTAACTCGCATCGAATAGCTCGGCTCAAATTTTTTTAAACTCGATTGGACTTGAAAAATTTTCAAGTTAAGTTCGAGATATAAAATACGACTCGTTAAATCAAAATTTCAAGTAAAATACGACTCATCAACTCAAAGGTTGAGCTTGAGTTTGAGCTTCAATCAAGTTGAGTCTAAGAATATTTTGAGTTCAATTTTTTTGAGTTAGATTCCATCTCCAAATTTTTAAGCTAGTGAGTAGTGAGCTTGCAAGTCTAGCTTTAATTTTTTTTTATTTTGAGTTTGATTGAATTTAATAATTTTAAGCTCGTGAGATTTCAAATCGAGTCGAGCTCAATTTTACCTTTACGAATTGAGTCAATCGTTTACAACCCTATTTGTAACTGTCCCACAACTAAGTGGTTCATATAATTTACCCAACTTTTAAAATCCCTCTCAACTCTTAACAGGCTGCTTAAATGACCCAAAGATTTGGGAATGTGGGCTATGATTCATGAGATTTAAATGAATAAAAGGGATAGTCAGAAATTTTATCTGTTTTGTCTTCAAAATGAGGTGTTGCTGCGATGATTACGATGACGAATCAACCATCACCACCCCCCTGATCTCCTCCTCCTATTCCGTCGTTATCGATTCAACTGCCACAATCTCCCCGGTGAACTCCCATTTCGCAGCTCTCATGTGCCCAGACACTCTCCGTCTCATTTTCGAGAACCTCTCTCTCTCGGATTTGGCACGTGCCAGCTGCGTATGCAAGACCTGGAACGCCGTCGCTTCCGATGAAGATATGGTTGTGGAGGCATTCAAGGCTCCCTGGAAGCTTCTCGATGTGGTAGGGAAGCCTTGCTCTAGAAATTTCTGGAGAGATAATGGGATTGGGAAGTTCGCTATCTCGCATCGGATTTTGAGGGGAGAGACTGTCGCCAGTCTTGCTGTTAAGTACTCTTCTCAGGTAAACAATTCATGGGAAATTTTATGATTTTTTTTCTGGATTTGTCTTTTGCATTATTAAAAGGGTAGAAATGGGGAATTTATGATTCTTTTTTGTTTAATCTTTTGTCCTTTTATTAGTACAATTGTCTGTTTATTGAATCAAAAGGTCAAAAGTGAATCGCATTTTACTTATATGAACAGTTTATAATAATGAACTTCCTTGACTGTCTATACTTTTCCTGTATTCCTCTTGAAATTTGCGTGTTATGCTTCTAATGGAAATTTAAGACTTGCATGGAGATGTGATTGGAGAGGCTTAAGCCCTAAGGCAAAATGGGTAGGAAATTTGACAAAGAAAAGGAAGGAGCCTTGGTCTTATCTTAATGAACTCTTTTAATCATTTTGTTATCCTTCATTGAATTGCCCGGCTTTATCCAAACTTTTCTGCTTGTCGATGCTGCTGCTGGGAAAATATTTGTAGGGACCTCTGTTTAATTTCTAATGAAATGAATTCTGTCTTGTTGACCAAAAGAAAAAAAGGGAAACGGTACGAACACAGGATTTAATTTGATCAGTGTTATTGTTGGTTGAGACTTGAGAGCTTTTGGGTTTGGTGACTATGGTAGCTGAAATTACTTGATCACTGATTGTCATTTGCTTTTCTGTTGTGAAACCTTTGTATTTTAGCAATTTAACTTTCACCTCGTGCTTAGCTCAATGGCAAGTTAATTAGTGGTTTAGCTATACAAGTTACTAAGAATTCCCATTAGATCACAGCTTACAGGAGAATTTTTTTTTTGATAGGACTTACAGGAGAATTTATAAGAATTCAGAAGATCTTCATTTAATGATTCATGGTTGAACGTAACTCTGGTCTTGATTCCAAACTCTCTAATGGTATGAAGTCTTTTCATGCTTATAATTGAATAGAAAAACTGATCAGCCCAATAATTTCTGAATGCTTCAGTGCAACAATATGATAATTCAATGAGCACATCCATCCTTCCTCTTTGAATGAGAGCTGGGTCAAGTAGGTCAACATGAGTAGTTCTTCTTTTAGATTCTTTCTCCTTCAGAAGCAGACCGAAGAATACTCAAAACCTTATAGTGTAACCTTGCTTTGACCAGTGGCCTTTACCACTTCAGCTTTAGATTCTTATGGTTGGATTAGCCCTATCGTTGCCTTGCTTTTATTTTCCTGCATCCCTTCCGATCAAGTGACCAACTTATGTCAGTGACAACAATAATAGAATTACGTGTTGTATTAATCAAAGTGTCCCTAGACACTACATCATTCTTTATTGTTAGCAACTAAAGATCGTAGATGTCAAAGACTAAAAGATCATCATGGAAGCTATTGTGGTGGATTTACCTCTTGGAGGACCATAAAGCAATAGCCCTACTTCCAAGCTTGGCTAAAAACGATCTTTGATTATTGCCTCCCTCCTCTAGAATCCATAGTGTTAGGATTTATGAAGCTCGATCGATCAACGGAAATATGTCAAGGGAGTGAATTGGCTTTTTGAAATTTAGGGAGTAAGGAGTATGAAGATAGGAAAATTTGCACAATGTTTATAGTGGTTCAACTTCCTCAAAGAAGTCTACATCCACTACCTAAGTTCCTCACTTAGGATTTTCCAACAAATCCACTAATTTGTTCTTTTTTTTTCAAGGATAGAGAGTAACCTTTACAACTCCCTAGTTTTTCACTTGGTTAAACTAGAACCAAAACCCCTTTACAAAGGATAAGAAATGTCTAAACAATAAGACCTCTCTAGGTTGGTGTTTACAAAAATTTAGCTCATAAAAACAAAACCTAAGGATATACAATTAAGCTCAAAACACAAATATTTACAAGAGAAATAAAATACGATTGAATTTTTTTTACCTTGTGTATGAATGTTTGGATAGGTGTTGGTAACCTTCTTCAAGTTTCCTCAACTTGTTTTTATATGTTAGAATGAGTTACTAGTCGTTTATAGCCGTTCGGGATGATTTGGAGTCTTTGGGAGTTGAAAAATCTGCAATTCTGTGCAGGGGTTTCGAAACCATTAAAGAGGGTTTTGAAACCTTCATTTAAAATTTTGATCATTTGAACAAGGGATTTCGAAACCTTTGAGGGGGTTTCGAAAACAGGCCTAAAATTGCCTGTTTCACCTTTGAAAAACTTAAAAACTTTGAATTATTTTTGCAATGTTTAAACAAATTCAATTTGGTCCAAAAATTTTTTGCCCTTATTTGTTATATCAAAATATTAGTTCTACACATAGTTTGCCTATTTTAAGGTAGAATGGTGCTGATAAATCACATAAATGATAAACCCAAAATCATTTGGTGGTTCTTCATATAAAGCCTTTGAAATCATATCATTTTTCTATGGACTTAGCCTCTTGCATCACATGCTTCATATACTATCTACATAATGATTCTTCCTTGAGCCTTGCAGCTTGTACCATTGATTTTGAATATAGGTTGCTCTTTCTTGTGGCATAGGGTGTGCTACTGTTCATGAATCCAATTTGTACCCATGGAATACAATTTGAACACAAGGAAACATGAATTAAATGGAAGTCCATAAATTCACTTTCCGTGAATCGAAAATGCAAGTATATATATTTATATATACACACACACTAATAATCACAATAACCTAATAAAATTTATCCTATACTGGGTTCAAATGTGAGTTGAACGAAGATAATTATGACTTCCTGACCACTTTCATATATTTGGTGATTAAAATTTATCCCTACTCTGTTGCCAGTGTTTTCTTTTAGTATGACAACATGAACTTTGTATTGAGCTCCATGTTGTATTGGTAGGTTATGGACATAAAGCGAGTGAATAACATGATGAGCGACCATGGGATTTATTCAAGGGAGAGGTTATTGATCCCTATAAGCAATCCAGACATTCTTATAAATGGAACATGCTATATAGAGTTAGATGCCTACGCAAAGCGTGAAGTGGCCGTGCTGTATCCTGGCAGCAAGCCTGAGGGAAAGCTCGGAACATTGTCGAATAGAGTGACCTCCGATCGGGGCAAGAGAAGGGTGATAGATTCTTTAAAGAGAAGCATGCAAGTTGATGATGGAACTGCACAATACTATTTGTCCATTTCAGATGGTGATCCCAGAGCTGCACTCTCTCAATTCTCTTCAGACCTCAATTGGGAGAGGCAGACAGGGTTGGCCTAGATGGAAATGTACATTTGAATTCATGGGATGGAAAGGGAGCATAAATTCGCAGCAGGTAATGAATTATATTTCCTTCATTAGCATGTACTATTAAAACTGTTTTTCCATGTATTATAAAGATGCATAGTGTCGAGTGTTAATGTCGAGAAAACATTGCGGTCGTAAATTGTACCAAGAACCAAGAGTACCCGATGCTTCTCAACTAAAAGTATTTTCTACGTTTTTTGAGCCAATGGAGTGTGTATCAAGTTATTAACAGTTCCAGCCTTTGTAAAGAACCCAAAGTCTGACTCGTACCTATCAGGTCGTGTTGGTAGCCTCTCTTTGGAAAGGTTTATTTATAAACGTATATTATCCAACATACTTTTAGGAACAAAAACATTTACTATTTTAGAATGGGATGATGTCATTAAAGATACCTTTGCTTTAATAAATATTAATCTTTAATGCAAATTATGGACAGAAATTGCTTTAATGGGCATCAGTTATTAGATGGAAACTATGTGAGCTGAGCTAGTGTGTGATATTCATCGACGATAATTTTGATTTTTCCGGTGATAACAAGGGAATTTGCATACATCAATAAAACTGTTGGACTGGATGTAAGCAAAATAAACTCGAGAAAAATGTGTCACCACCGGCTCAAGGTCATCTATTGTTTCCTCCTGTGTGTTAGAACACAACATTCTAATGAGAAATGTTTCAATTAGATCAAGTAAAAAAAAAAGATTTCGTGTCGAATAATACAACATTAGCATAATAGTTCTAGAAAGTAGAAAAGAACTATTTTTTTAGGAATAATGAGTTGGGCATAAATAATTTAAGAAAATTAGAAGACAGTTCAATTCTCTACATGGAATAATAACATGAAAAATATAATTATTTATTCACAATGTTTTATTGTTGAGGATATAGAAAAGAAATTAGATCTCTACAAAAATTCAAATCGATTGATGTGTTATTTATTGTTAAAGATAGTATTATCATGTATGATTGTGATCGGATGATTTTATACTAGGAGATAAACTTGTAAAATTTTAGAGTAGAATGAATTTATGAAATTTCAAGGGTGCAACTGCTCCCACCAGCCCCAACACGAGCAAGAAGTCACTGAAAGTGTCATCCGTTTCCAAGCTACGCATGTCATTTTTCCCTTCCCGGTTGACAAATAGATTGATATCCCCATTGATGAGCAAAAAAGGTTTACAAGACAGATATGACCCGTGAGCGGATTAAATCAGGGTTCGTCTTTAATGCCTATTCGGTTATTAAATGACAGAATTTTTAAGGTCATGAGACGAACATGTTTTTGTTTACAAGGTATGGCTTGAAGTAAATAAAAGAAACTTGTTTCACAATGCCACGGTTGTAAATTACATTTGTTGATTGGTTTGACCTCGCTGTCCATACTTGATTTCTCTTATGTGTTTGTCTCATTTTATTGGTTGATGTGATACCTTGTGAGATGAAACATGGCATGCAAATTCAGAGACCAGGCTAGAATGTTTATGGGTGAAATACATTAGAGGTTACTGAATTATGTTTAAATATTTTTTTTGTTCACTGAACATTATAAAATTACAAAATGAATATTAAATTTATTAAACTATTACAAAACGGTCACTTCAGCGTTGCAATAAATTTTAAAAGTTTGATAAATTTAATGCCCATTTTGTAACGTTTCGATAGAATTTGATGACAGTTTTTAATAGTTTGACAAATTTAATGCCCATTTTGTAACGTTTCGATAGAATTTGATGACCGTTTTTTAATAGTTTGACAAATTTAATGATCATGTTGTAATGATTTGAAATTTTTAATGACCATTTTGTAACTTTTGAAAGTTTAGTGGTTAAAATGTTCATTTGAGCATAGTTGACCTCTAGTATTTACCCATTTTACATTGAGGGTCAAAATGAATTTATAAATGTTTGGGGGAGTCAAAGTATAATTTCTATTTACACTAATTTATAATTGCATAAATCATCAAGGGTCTGGAATGAAATTACCCGTTTTTCTTTAGACTATATCAAAGGCAAAACGGTGGGAAGAAAATATATAAAGATGCCAACATATCTCAAAGGGCATTTGAGGAATTTGGGATCTTACATCATATGCAAAATGGTGTTTGAAGATGAAACGATTATGGCCACTAAGAAAGGTTGCCCACATTTTTAAGCTAAAAAGTAAATCATAATTAATCTAAAGATTAGAATTAGGAAGTCACTTTCATTCTTTCAACCACCGATGAAAAGATTATCTGGGATTTTCAAGAAAGGTTGAGATATAAATTTATTTATTTTGATTGATCTGTGATGGTTATAAGGTAATATTTGTTCGAATGATTCTCAATTATTTGACAATAAATGTACAAATGACCCTGCAGACGTCGTGCTCAAACCTGAAACCTCTAAGATCGTTCCTTTAACCACTGAAATCGCTTGGTTCGTGCTTAGGTACGGATTTAAAATCTATTAAGAATATCATCTTTTATAAGTGATTGCATAAATTTATTATACTAAACCCAGATTTATGGTTCTTCTTCTCATTATGCTTATAGAGTCGGAGGATAAGGGTGACTGAAAGAAAGGCTTGAATAATTGCAATCCGAATTGGCCCACCAGGACCAAAGTCTTGCAATTAATTTCAAAACAAGTATGTTCCTTTTGTGACTCTCCCTAAAAGAAAGGAACAAACTACAAATCAAGCCCTCACAAAAAGGAAAACAGAGAATCAGGCAAGCATATGGCAACATTGATGGGTGGAGGCAAACCTGGGGACTCCAATCCTTATATTGGTTTAGGATTCGATGACTCTGGTAATTGGATTCCTGGAACTCCCACAGTTCTATCTCTTCTGTCTTCGGTTCTCGAAAGATCGGTCCGAGGGAACGAAAAGTTATTGGTTAGATCGAAAATCAAGGATAGTATTACCATATTCCATGGTTCAAAAGAACCTTCCTTGAACATTAGACAGTACGTGGAACGCATCTTCAAGTACTGCAAATGCAGCAACTCTTGCTTTGTTGTTGCCGTTATATATATCGACAGGTTCCTGCAACGAATCGATGCCTACCTTACTTCGCTCAACGTGCATCGTCTCTTGATCACAAGTGTCCTGGTGGCTGCCAAATTTATGGATGACCAGTAAGTTCAGTACATATGTTCCATGTCTTAACTTCTGTTACAGAGATAGAGAAGAGGCTAGGATGTTTTTTGTGTGTTCTGCTATAAAATTTGTTTTTGATTGAGTTTCAAATTCGAGAACACTGTTTAGATATACATGCTATAAATTTTGTTTTAGCCAATGATTGAGATGATGTGCAGGTGTTATAACAATGCTTATTACGCGAAAGTTGGGGGAGTTAGCAGAGAGGAACTGAACAGATTGGAGATGAAGTTCTTGTTCAATTTGGATTTTCGACTTCATGTCAAGACCGACGTCTTCGACAAGTACTGGCTTAAGATCCAACAAGAAGATGATGGGGAAAGCCGAACTGACCAGCATATTCACCGCCGTCGTTCGAAGAAAGATGATACCAGAAGAGGCCGGCGAATCACCAGGTAGAACCAGCCCTATAGTGCAACCTTAAGGAATCGATGACCCAAAGTTCAAATGGCATAGGGATGATTTGTGACTTGAAAAATTATTTGGTATGCTAGACCCTTTATTATACAATTTATATAGTAATATCAACCCAGTATCTATCTCAATACACTAACCATCTCAACTCTTAAATCAAAATTTCAAGCTCAAAATATAATATCAACTTCAGATCTAAAATATGATATCAAATTCAGATATTCAGATCTGTTACAGATGCAGAGGAAGTGAATTTAAATTACACAGTTCAATTGTATAACACCAACCAAAGATTCTTATTTGAATCTAAATCCAAAATCGTCTAAATAATACCGTAAATACTGAAAGAACTAAAATATGAGGCCTCCTGTTTGTTAGAGAAGAAAAATCTCCAAATTCAAGATCAGGGGTGTAAATGACAACAAAAACACATTTGATGAACTGTTTGTGAATCATTTGTACAATGTTCGTTTTTATTTGTTTATACAAACGAGTATGAATAAAATTTGTGTTTATTTAATAAATGAATGAACACAAATAGAATTATGTCAATTTGTTTATGTTAACAAACAAACTCATTTATAAGTTGATTTATCGACTCGTTTATTTTTCTCATTTTTCTTTTATTTTTAAAATTTTAAATATTAATGAAGATGGAGACTAAATTGAATATAAGATAACCTTTGAAGTTCAAGCTTTAAAGCCTAAGGAACTTAAGGACTAATAGCGTAATTTCATCATTTAGTTGGTTTTGCTCTATTTAATTTTCTTTGTTTGTTTAGTTCGATAACATTTTTGAACATATAAACGAACATGATCGCAAATGTTAAATGAATGTGTTCGTGAATGCTAAACGAATTGAACACAAACATCTTTAAAAATAAAGAAACGAACACAAGCATGACATTAAACAAATATGTTATTAAACATTTAAATGAACATAAACCAAACAAGAAAACTTCCAAAAATAAACAAACGAATAGGAACACAACCTTATTCATTCAAACCCGATTTATTTACACCCCTATTCAAGATGAGGTTGAAGGCAACACCTTTGACACTATTCAATTGTATCTCAAAATGTGCAAAAACAGAGATTTTTTCAGAAAAAAAAAGAGTAAATAGGGAAGCAACGAGCATTGCAACAAAATGGATCGGAAGGTATAGGCAAAACTTTTATTTCACAATAACTCGGTTCACTCATTTTCTCTTGATATTGTACAGATCAAACAATTCCACAACTAAATAGGGGAGTCGCATTTTGCAATTTTTCCCCTACACGAGGATTTTGAATACAATCCAGAAAAGTGGACCACAGAAATTTGACAAAGCATGCAAAATTGTTTCTAAGATTACCACATCCATGTCTCGGAGACGGGAGAGTCATCGTCCCTCAACCAGAGGCATTCTTCCTTGCTGCATATATGCGGTAAGCTGCAACTCCAACAATGGCTACAGCAGCTCCAACTGCAAAAGGTTAAAGCATTGGAAATGATCAACAGTTCGGTATAGTGACTGATAAAGCTAAAGGGCATGCCATTCAAGTTGAAGCAATTTTGAAGCAGTGCAAGTACCATCTCAGTTTAACGATAATTTTTACTAGGAAAAGCCTCAAATACATACTTCAGCTTACGTATTAATCCCTCCAAGAAAGTCACAACTGTTGCAGTTGCTTAATAGAGAGTAATGGTTAATTACTTTTAGGAAAAGATTATTATTATTATTTTAGGAGATATCAGTTACTATTTTATTAGGAAAGTATTAAAGATATTATTTATGAATATCTTATACTATTAGAAGTCCTTCCTTAGTTGGAGTCGTGGTTTTTAGTTACTTTCTTATAAGAGAGGCAAATTGAGAGCTGAATAAAGAAAACAAGGTTCTCATCAAAAGTCCTAAAAGATCTTGATCTCTCTTCAAACTAGTCCTAAAGGTTTCGGTCTCCCTCCGACCAGCTGAATCATTAATCGTAAACACAAGATCGCAAGATTGTACCGACAACACCCCTTGGAACAAACATTAAAGCTGAGGTGTGTAAATTTCCAATGCACAGGCTTAAACAGAATCAGAACTAGATCTTATCAAAGGGTTTAAGACTATATATTATATCCAAGTGGACGAAGGCAGAGAAATGCCCAGTACTGATCACCCGCAGAAGAAGATAGAAAATTGTAAAAGATGTGCACAGCAACGTGTCATCAGAATATCTCACCGTGATAAACAATATTTTCAAGAACCCAAAGCTTCAAGTGCATTGAAAATAAAACAGTTCTGAGATACTATACAATCAGCATACCTGAAACAAACATGAGTGATCGGTTTACGAGCCGATGGTACTGCTTCCGACTTCTACCAGCCTCAGTTTCAGGAATGCTCAAATGAGGATGTTCAGCAGCATTTACTATCCTTCGGAATATGTTATTGAAATCACTCAATTTTGAGCTGATAGGTATCGGTGCCTCTATCCCCATATCCTGGCTGACCTGAAAAAGAAAATTTTGAAACACAATGCACTTTCACTCCAGCTCTTCAAAATGAAAATTTAGCAGGACTTATTTCACTATCATATCAGAGATAGATCAACAATGTCAAGAACACTGTTACCTCTTCAAGGACACAAGTTTCACTTTATGACACTGTTAAGACATTTTACTTATTAAAGAAAAAGACATTCTACTTATTCACGCAAGAAAATTAAATTAGTAAAAAAGACTAAAGCATGATACCCTGGTAGAATTCTGTATTGCCATTGGAAATGAATCCAGATCATCTTTAGCAGCAACAATGAGGCAAGGCACCTCATAGCCAGTGTCTTCACCATGACCAGCAACATCCATAAGCAATTCAGTTGTTCTCTTCCATGAAGACTCGTCAGAACTAACAAAACCAGACAATCATGAAGTAGAACTTACAAAAAGAAAAAGATGGGCATATGCACCTATATGACTTTTTACAAAATTAAACATGGAACAAAATGATATTATAATCATTTTATCAGCACAAAGAGCACAATCCAAGCACATGAGAGTAACCCTTTTCATGAATATGATCACAAAACTGAAAATGAATAACCAAGAATAGCTGATACCTCTAAATCTAAAATCCTACTTCAGAACAACCATGCCTCGAGTTACCTGTCATAAACAAATACTGCTATGTCACAGGCAGCCAGTGACTCTTTACTAGACAGCAGTTTTGCAACTCCATCTTCAGGGATTTCTCGCAACACTAGAGTTTTCTTTATTCCCTAAAAATGACAAAGAAAAAATATTAAAAAGAAATCACTAACCCAAAAGCTGAAATATTAACACAATATATATATATATATTGTGTTAAGAGTTACAAAAGGAATTGATTTGATACTGCAAGAAGCATGTAGATTTTGACAGTTTTTACATCTTAAAGTAAATACAACTTCGAATATTATCCCACTTGAACCTTATAAAATGTCTTTCCAGTGCACCCATGACACCCCACTTTATGGTATAGACTCCATAACAGCAAGAAATGCATGTGTGTGGAAGTCCCCAATTCCCTCAAAGGACAAAGTAAATCCCTCGGTTTAGAGGTGGGGACTTCTTTCATTATTGAATCACAATAATAATTTAATGGCAATTACCCAAGGTAGTTCCACAACATTCACAGCATATTGCTCATCAGCAGTTGGGGAATATGAATCGGAATACGGCCTACATTAAAGTAAAAGAAAGTTAAACAAATCGTGGAAAAAGAACTAGCTATCAGGAAAAGAATTCTAATGAATACCTGCCAAGAAAAGAATTAATTAATCCAGATTTCCCAGCATTTGCTGGACCAAAAACAAAGCACTGCAAAACAGTTCTTTCTGATTGTTGCTTCTTTCGGTCCAGACGCCTTCTCCTCGTCACACGGATGGCAGAGGAAGGATCACCAGGATATCCAATGTATATCAAGTTCTCCAAGCTACGAGCTGGATCTAAGAGTGTCATAAGCTCCCACTACAATACACAAAATAACTCATAAATTAAAGTACTCGTCTGACCCATAATAGCAAAACTATGCAGTTCTGAGTATAATATTCCCATTTTCAAGAGCAAAGCAGGAATACCTCTGAAAAAAATGCATCAAGTGATAGCCCTCCTAGAGCAGTTCTTTCTGCAGCATCCTTATATGGAGCATCATTCCAAGGACTGAAGTTGAAGGGAAAATGTCGAGCATGATTCAAACATTATCACATTTGCAACTTATAATAATAAAGATCTCCTAGGTGTGCAAAATTCATATAAAGCTTATTACAACAGTTGAAAAAATCACAATCTAGCAGAAGAAATTGAAGTAAAATGTATCAAATGGGAACCATACTTTTCTGGAGCAGTTGAAAAAACATCTTCGACTTCGATAGGCCGAAGGTTATTGTCCTGAAAATAACAATATTACAATTCATATAACTTCAAAAACTTTATAAGAAAATAGGAATATTGAACATTTTAAACTGGACAGGACAATGGAAAAGGCAAGGGAACTACAAATAAAATAAATATAGGCAAAGACATACTAAGTCACTGTCAAATAATTCATAGACCCCCTTCAGGAATTCAATAGCCTCATTTGTCAGCTCCACGCTCTACACAAATGGCAACACAAAAGTGCAAAGAGTCATAAGCAGTAGTTCAAAAAATGATGAATCTATACTAGATTATTGCCAATCAGAAACAGCAAAATTCATAATTGGCCTAATGAAAATCAGCCAATTTTGGCGGTGCTCAACTTAAACCACAGCCAGGTATTCCACTGGTCACCGAATGTAATACTAATAAGATTGGTCATATCAAAATCCAGAGTTCACGAGAAATTTTAAAAAAAATACTCTGTAGCAGAAAGAATTATTACCAATTCTAACTATTGCTCATGCGGACAATTTTATAAGCAAAAACTAATGATCAGACAATGCAAGTTGAAAATGAAAACAAATGGAGCAACAGCTTTAAATGCGCTTATTCAGCGTTTTCATAAGAAAGAGAGTTCATGTTAAGCACTACCTGATCAGGAGCACGTTTAAATGAAGCATATGGAATTAGATCATC